AAAGAGAGAGAAAAAGAGAGAGGAGAAAGAGAGAAAGAAACAGAGAAAGAGAGAGAGAAAGAGAGAAATGGGAAGAGAGAGAAGGAGAGAGAAATAGAAAGAGGGAGAGAAAGAGAGAGAGGAGAAAGAGAGAGAAATGGGAAGAGAGAAGGAGTGAGAGAGAACTGTAACTTCAAACGGTCACTCAACGAACCGTCGCAAGTCCACGACTCCTTGACCTTTTTTAAAGCAAAGCGCCGAAATCTCTCGGCGTCTCACAAACCCCGGAGAAACTCAGCCACTTTCTCCAATATCTCCACGCCGTCCGGAAACCGGACGAAATTCATATAGCAGAGGTTGATGATGCCGTGAAAGCCTTGCTCGGCGTGGAACCACGAGACCTTCACCCCATTGTCCTCCAACCGCTTCTTGTACAGCAACGCGTCATCCCGCAGCACGTCGTACTCGCAACTGGCGATAAACGTCTCCGGGAAGCGTCTCAAGGCCTCGTCTTCGACCAAGAGGGACGAAAAGGTGGCGTGCAGGAGATTGGGCACTTGGTCGTGGACCTCCGGCTTGAACTGTCCCAACGGGCGTCTCTGGTACTCCCGGCGTTTAAATCGCTCCGGGATGTTGTCCAAACTGAGCCACTTTGCGTACTTCTGCCTCAGCCCGTCTGGCACGTGGCAACCCTTCAAGATATCGTCGGCCAACGAGGAATCCTTCAAGAGGAACTTGAGCCCGTAGAACACCACACTGTCCTGGAAGAGGATAGGCATGGCCGCGTTCTGCTGGTACGACGGGAGGTTGAAATCCAGAGCTTGGAGACCCGGGTAGATGAGGACCTGAGCGCAGAGTTTAGGGAGGTCCGGACGTCGGAGGATTTCTTGGGTGATGACGGTGGCGAAGTTGCCCCCCGCGCTGTCCCCGCCGATGACGACCTGTGTAGGGTCCACGCCGTGCTCTTTGGCGTGTTTCAGGAAGTGCACGGTGGCGGTGAGACAGTCCTCCCACTGAGTGGGGAAGGGGTGCTCCGGGGAGAGGCGGTAGCTGGAAAGACAGCAGGCGAGGAGTTACGGGGGTGGGAGGGGGGAATGATTTGGACCTGAGGGTCGATGAACAGAGAGGAAACCTCCCTCCCTCTTAGCACTGAGGATGTTCCCTAGTTGGGTGATGAAACGTCTTGGAGAACTCATCCAAGCTCGGCACCGAGGACCCCACAGTTTTCCTCCATCTCTCTCTTTCTCCTTCTCTTTCTCCACTCTCTTTTTCTCTCTCTCCTTCTCCTTCTCTCCTTTTTCTCTCTGTCCTTCTCCTTCTTTCTTCTCCTCCTCCTCTCTTCTCCTCCTCTTTCTCTCTTCTTCTCCATCTCTCTCCTGCTTCTCCTTCCTCCTCCTCCTCTTTCCTCCTCCTCCTCTTCTCCACAAACCCCACTCCCTTGCAGCACTGAGGATGTTCCATGGGTCATGAAGAATCCCATAGTCCTCCTGCTCCTCCTCCTTCCTGCAAACCCCAATCCTTTCTAGCACTGAAGATGTTACCTAGTTGGGTCATGAAATGTCTGCAAGAAAACCACCAAGCACAAAGACCCCATAGTCCTCCTCCTCCTCCTCCTCCTCCTCCTTACCTTCCAGCACTGATGATGTCACTTTGTTGGGTACAGGTACCTTTTGACTTACAACAGTTCATTTAGTGACTGTTCGAACTTATGACAGCACCCAAAAAAAGTGACGTAGGACCATTTTTCACACTTACGACCGTCGCAGCGTTTCCCCCAGGGTCACATGATCAAAATTCAGGCACTCAGCCACGGACTCCCATTTATGACGGGGTCACACGATTCCCCCTTTGTGGTCACTAAACGAACTGCCGTAAGTCCAGGACTCCCCCTAGAGGCCAGCTTCGTCCCGACACCTGAGCACCTCCGTTTACCAGGGAGGAGCATGTCAATCGTCACTCACCCAACCACGACCACCACAGCCTCGCTCTCCTTCGCGATTTTACTGGTGATGTCTTGGTAGTAACCTGGGAAAAGCGAGATGGAGGGACATTAACAATCACAGCCTCTATATATATATAGTTTTGGGGATTGGAAGAGGGGAAAAAAAAACAGATGATAGAAAACATATAAAAGGATGCCAGAAATATAGAGCAAGAGGCACGTTTAGTCTTTATCATTGCTGCGAAGGAAAATTGAGGGAGGCGTCTTTAAATTTGCTTTCTTTGCATTCTATACCATGTCTTTTCCTTCCTTCCTTCTTTCCTTTCTTTTTCTCTCTATCTTCCTCTATCATATTTCTTCTATCCTTTACAGTATCTACTTTCCATCCATCCTTCCTTCCTTCCTTCTTTCTCTCTCCCATCTTTCTCTCTCTTTCTCTCTCTTTCTCTTCGATTATCTACAGTATATTTTCTATCCATCCATTTTTCCTTCCTTCCTTCCTTCCTTCCTTTCTCTCTCCCATCTTTCTCTCTATTTATCTTCCATTATCTACAGTATATTTTCTATCCATCCATTTTTCCTTCCTTCTTTCTTTCCTCTCTCTCCCATCTTTCTGTCTCTTTCTATTTATCTTCATCATCTACAGTATATTTTCTATCCATCCATTTTTCCTTCCTTCCTTCCTTCCTTCCTTCCTTCCTTCCTTCCTTCCTTCTTTCCTCTCTCTCCCATCCTTCTCTCTCTTTCTCTCTCTTTATCTTCCATCATCTACAGTATACTTTCTATCCATCCATTTTTTCCTCCCTCCCTCCCTCCTTTCCTCTCCCCATAATTATCTCCCATCATTTTTCACATTCTCCTCCTGGGCACGTCAAGGTGACGGCTGCAGCGGGGGAGGCTGCGTAGCAGCCAGACTTTATTGATCTACCCCTTGATTTAGGAATGCTCTCCCACTTACGGATGCTGCCAATCATGCCGGCCCCTCCGTGGCAGAAAACCAGCCCTTTCCTCCAACCGGCCCAGGGGGATTTGGGATAATAAACCCGGACCGGAATCCCGTCAAAGTCGAAATCTTTTGCGTAAACTCCGGGATGGATCTTGGATTTCTTGAAAGATATCAGGAAGCGAATGAAAGCGACTTGTCTGCATACGTGCAAGATTTCCAAGGTCTTCCCCTGTTTTTCGAAAGAAAAAGGAGGAAAAAAAGTCAAGCCCCCCCGACTGGAAGGGGGCCTTGGAGGTCTTCTAGTCCAACCCCAACCCCCCCCCCCCGCCCGCGCTCGAGGAGGAGACCCCTAGACCATTTCACTCACAATCAGGAGGCTGTGAGTTCAAACCTAGGTAGAGGCTAATATTTGGAATAAACTCTCCAGCTCGAGCAGGGGGGTTGGACTAGATGACCTCTGAGATACCTTCCAGCTCTGTTGTTCTATGTTCTTTTTTAAAAAAAATATTCAACAGTTGTAAAAATTAAAAACATGTATATACATTTTACAGCATTGTTTGAGCAATAGATACACTTAATACTTTCCTTCTGATAGTGTGTTCTACATTGTCGTAATAACTCCTTTCTCCTTTTAAGCTCTATATATGGATACATATAGTTTATTTATATTTATTTACACGTCACCCTTCTTTTCAAGATATTACCAAATCATCAGATATCACCTTTTTTTTTTATCCAATCATACCAGATATCCCATGTTTTGTAATATTCACTGTCTTGATTATCTTTTAGCAATTTAGTTAATCTATTCATTTCGGCACGTTCATGAATCTTATTAATTCTCCTGTTTTCTGAAGGGGTCGTAGCCAATTTCCAATTTTGAGCCAAGCTTATTCTAGCTGCTGTTATAATATGCAAAATCGCATATTGGTATTTCTTTTTCATACTTGGTCCTAGCATGGCTGATAGAGAAAAACACCCGTTTCAAATTTTACTTTCTCTTTTGTTATTCCCTCTAGCCAAGTTCTAATTTTTTGCCAAAATTTTCGTGCATGGGGACAAGTCCACCACATGTGGAAATAAGTTCCCTGATTGTAATTACATTTCCAACAATTGGATGTTGTGTTTGGGAACGTTTTGGCTAGCCTCCTCGCTGGTGGTAAATGCTAGCAATGAAACATTTTGTATACATTCTCTTTATCAGAGACCAACATTGTTAACCTGTAGTTTGTCTGCCAAAGATGTTCTGTTGTTCTATGTTCAACTGCACTTCTATGTTCAATCATTTTGTCGATCAGGATAGAGCTGGAAGGGACCTCGGAGGTCTTCTAGTCCAGCCCCCTGCTCAAACAGGAGACTATCTACAGTAATAACCCAGCTAAATGTTTGTCCGCTCTCCTCTTGAGGACTTCTGGTGGCAGAAGAACCTCTTTTCTCTAGACTGGCCAAACCCCAAATCCTGCAACCCTTCTTCTTCTTCCTGTGTTTTAGCCTCCGGGCCTTTAATCCTCTTAATTGATCCCTCTCTAAACCCACAGTGTAACTTTGAAGCAATAATTGACTCACCAGTGTGAAGAGCATCACGATACCCACGTGAAGGAGACGCAGCTTCAGTGGATTCTGAAATCCCAAAGGGATCTTGGTTCTCCTAAAATCGTAATAAATGCCCCAGGAGACCAGGACCAAAATTGCCATCCCTAGGGCGACTCCTCCGCCAAAGAGAACGTCCAGAAAAAGTCCCATTTTTGGTCTGGGATAAATGCCAAGACCGAGAGAGAGACAGACAGCAGAGACCCGTCTCCAACCCCAATCCAAGGTGACAGAAGTTCTCCAGAAGTTTTCCTTCCCTTCGGAGGCCGTGCAGTTGTTTGTGAAGTGATTCCTGCCTTCTGTGCACACCTCCACATATGGATCAGAAGAATATCTAACCATGGGATAATTACACCCAAGAAGGCGGTTTCCAACAATGTTGGTTGGAATGTGGAAGTCACCCAGATGCCAGCTTTGTTTGTGGGCCAGAAGATCAGATAGATAGATAGATAGATAGATAGATAGATAGATAGATAGATAGATAGATAGATAGAAGATAGATGGATGGATGGATGGATGGATGGATGGATGGATGGATGGATGGATGATAGGTAGATAAGTATAGGTAGATAGATGATAGATGGATGGATGGATGGATGGATGGATGGATAGATAGATAGATAGATAGATAGATAGATAGATAGATAGATAGATAGAAGATAGATGGATGGATGGATGGATGGATGGATG